AATTGCTTAGCTTTGAGGCTTTCAGTCAGCAAGAATTACATAGAAGGGAATTCCAGGTCCTGATGAAGGCGAGTCAAGGAGTTTCTTGGAATAACCCCAGCTGCCAATCAACAGAATGTGATTAGGCCGTCCAGTGCACGGGGCTGGTGGGAATGCCAGCATAAGCTTTTTCTCTGAGTCAGGGCCTCCTGGATAGTCAGAACTGGCTTCAGCTTCCAGGGTGGAATGGACACTGCTGCCTGATTACTCTTCATGCCTCTTTGCTATAAAGTCTCTTCTTAATCCTTCACAAAGGCAGTTTGATAAAGATCTGCCCTACAGGTAGGTGTTTCTCTTTTCTGTAGCCATGACTTCTCCCTGCAACACAGGTAGGCTGGATTACTCACAGCTGGCTATCTTTTCACCATCCTTTGCCAGTGCCATTCAGGTCTGCACTCTGTAGGTGATGGGGTGATTTTTTTTGCTTAAAAATAAATAGTGAGCAGAAGATAATTTGGGTATTATTGATACTTACTGTGCTGAACACTCATTTGGATGGTGTAATGGATAGACCCTAAACAAGCACTCTCCATAGGCATGAGCGTTGATCTGAATCTATAATCAAAATCAGCCTATTCCTGTTCCAGTGTTCAGTAGATAAGGCAGAATATAAGAAAGTCAGGCAGCAAGCAAATGAACATATCTGCAGCCTCTATTGCTATCTTTCTGCTTAATTTTCATGGAAATATGTATTTGAGAAGAAGGTAGGGAGAGTTAAGTAGAACTGCTTGAATCTGATGATGGATGCAAGACCATGAAAGAAAGGAGACGAAGGAATAAAGAAGGACCTCACATTTAAATGACACATATCCCACATCCTCACAAGCATTTGGATTTGGTATTAATTTAATAAAGAAAGAAACTGAAGTCCAGAGAATTCTTTCCAGTTGCTTCATTGCCAGAAAGCTACATCGATGTTTTTTTGTGCACTGATTTCACAAATTATAACGCTGCCATCTTTTGAATATAATTGTGATACTTTTAGTTAACCTCAGAAGCCCCCCTCATTTTTCTCTGATAGTGATGATGGATTTTTTACTTTAGACATCTAGTACTTTTTGGCTGAGAACATGCTGTGAGATGTTTGCTGGGGCAGGGATGGAGGGCTTTTGGGGGGGGCCTATGTAAGAGATTGCCTTAATGGTACACACAGGCAGACGTTGCCAGGCAGTTGATGAAAGACCAGATAGTGGAGGGCAGCTGTCTGTAGGAACATGCCAGCCCACATATTACACCACAGTTACTGAGGCTTGTCTGTTGCAGTCTCTAATCCGTAAGATGAAAGCCAGACCGTTGGACACCTTCCACAAGACTTTTTCTAACTGTGTCCTTCTAACTCTGAATGGAAGCCAAGAGGCTTTCCAATGGGCTAGTCCAAGCCCAAGTCCAATAGTTCTCAACGATTACTTCACACACTATGAGGGATGATGTAAAAGAGCTGTTCATGATCAGTCTTGGAAGAAAAACAGGGTTTGAATTTTAGTCCAGGAGTTTACTATCTGCATGACCTTTAGCCAAGTACTTAACCTGTGTAAGCCTCAGTTATACCACTTCCCAAATGAGCTAATAACACCTACTATATAGGGTTATTGTTAGAGTTCTATGCATTGCACAACTCAAAGGGGTGTTGTTCATGCAGACTACAGTAGAAATAGCAACACTGTATTGTGTAACACAGCAATGCTGGTTATTGTAGATATTAAGTATAATTGATGCACGTAAAGAGTTTACATTTGTATCTACTAGTGTTTAAGCATGGAATCTATTATTATTATTCTCTCAGGCAATTGACTGTGACTTGCTCTTATGCTGTTTTGAAACTTGCTTCTAAGAAGGAGAAAGCAAGATAGTTTTTGGCTAAGAAAATAAAATCTGCAAAGGCCTGGGGAAAAAAAAAAAAAAAAAAAAAAATGTTGTCTTGTTCAGAGAATGGATAGAATTCCCATATTCTGGAGCTCGGAGGCCACATCATAAAAGGTCATGAGGAGTTTGGGCTTTGTCCTCAGGGCAATAGGTACCCAATGAAGGATTTTAAGGGGAGTGATATTATTAAGTCTGCACTCTAAGTTCACTTTGGCTGAAATGTGAGGAATGGAATGACAAAATTTGGCAGTAATCTGAAGGGAGTGGTTAATTATATCAGTCTTGGAGACAGACACAGGTTTGACTCTCTCATCAGTGTTTACTGTCCCTGTTCAGATTACAAATATTTAAACTTTATGATCCTTACCAGGTCCCCAAGATATTTTAAGTTGCAAATCTTCCAAAAGGATCACTACAGATATCTCTTTCTCTCCATTAAATGTTAGATCTCTACTGTATCATTTCGTTTACTTGCCAGGCATTGGGGTCATTTCTAAATGAGATTTTAATAGGCAAAAGCTGGTCCTCTTGTTTCTACCCTTGCCCCTACCACCTATTCTCCATCAAACCAGCAGAGAGATCCTTCCAAAAAGAAAATCAGATTATATCCCACTCTAATCAGAACCTCTCCATGATTCTCATCTCCCTCCCCATCAAAGCCAAAGTCTTACAGTGGCCTCAGTGCCCCCATGATTCATTTCCACCACTTCCTTACTCCAAAACCCTGTTCCACAACCCCGTACCCCCATCACCCTTTGCCACACTAATTTCTCTGTAGTTCAGGACTATGCCAAATGCAATTCTCATTAGGACCTTTGTACTTGCTTGGAATTCTCTTCCTGTAGATATCCACAAAGCTTGATCTCTTGCTTCCTTCAGGCCTTTACTCAGATGTTACCTTATCCGAGAGGCCTTCCTTAACCAATCAATATAAAACCATGCATGCCATGTGTGTACATACACTGACACGTGCACATACACACAGATACACACATAAGCATGCGTGTGTACATACACTGACACGTGCACATACACACACTCCCTGTCCTCCTTAGATTGCTCTCCCACACACACACTATAACACTTTTACCAGCTGACATTTATATGTATTTGTTTGTTTCTGCACCAATAGAATATAAGCTCAATGAGTGAGGACAAAGGTTTTGTTTTATTCATTGGTGAATACACGGGACCTAGAAGGAGATACCAAGTCATTTGAAAATCCATATTAAGCATGCATAAATATTTGTGGAATAAATGGATGCACAGGAGAGTTGGAACTAGATCTTCTACTACTCTTGCAGGCTGGTTGAATCTCACCTTGTTTTAGCAGAGATCCCACAACCCTCCAGAGCCCTGCAATGTCAGAATGAGCAGACATACTGAGCATGAATTTTTCCATATTTTGAAAATGTGCTTCTATTTTTCAGCCTTTTACTTAGATTGGAAGTCTATCCCTACAACCCTCTTCTGGTCTTCTTTAGTATAGGACAATGTCAAAAAAGCTTCTCTCCCAAATAGTGATGAGCTAAAACGGGCTTTAAGCTATAGTGGGATTTCTGAGGGTCTGCCAGGATGTGCTAGATAGGGTATTCTCCTGGGCCCTGATACAGTTTTCAGTATAAGCCATCAGCAGCAAACATGGACCTGAGAACGCAGGCAAACTTGGGGCACCCCTCAGCCAGCCTGAAGCTAAGAAAACCTCTAATCCAGCTGCTCTTTTAACTTTTTCCAGGCTGTAAAGCTATGTTCTGACTCAGGACCCTTCCTATCACTGCTTTATCTGATGCCATAACTGTTCCCTCCTGCAAGGCCTTCCAGATGAAAGTTACCCTGACCTGGAACAGGCTTTCCTCTACTTGAGTGCTCCCCAACCCCCCATCTCAGGCCCTGCCTGAGCTGGTGGGTGGTGACTTTAGGGCCGTGGTGGCTCAGTCCACTGCTTTGCTTACCAAGCTTGTGCTGCTCAGTGACTCTGTTGCCATATCCCTAATTGCCTACAGCCCTTCATCATATGTGTACTTTGTGGTCACTGTTGTTATGCCACAGGAGCTACTTTAGATGGAATTATTGGTCCTGCATTCTTTGGTCATTTGAACCTTCTATAGAACTAATATGTGTTTAGAATGACCATGGAAAGTATGACATTGACACTGAAAAGGAACATTTTATAGCTGGTAATGCTGATTTCACAGCCTGCCAAGTTGTTATACTCACATCTAGGCCCGAGCCTGGTTATCTCTTTTTCCTGTTGTGAATGGCCTGCAGATTCTAAAACAGCCTCTCTTCACAGATGTGAAAAGCACTGCTTAAAGAACCAGATGCCCAGCTGCTAATGTATCAGGAGACCTGAGCTTGATGAAAACTAGGAGGAAATGTGCTCTCATCAAAACATGCTTTTAAAAACTGTACTTAATGTGTGGAAATATTGCATTACAGCAGATTTTTTTTCCCCCTCAAGAACAAATACCATTGAGCTTTGATTGCAGGCAAGCTTAAAGATTTCTCTGTATTTCCAAGTAAGTATGGAGCAATAGGACATGATTTCATGAAATACAGTGTAAGGTGTACTCCAGAATTTAATATAATCATCAAGCCTTGTGTTGGTGGGATTTTTCATAATCTGAATTTCAAAGCATCAATTTTAATAAAGTGCTTTTGGCAGTAAAACAGTTTCTGAAAGATGATATATTAACCAAAATTTAAAAGGAAATCTGCTCTAGCAATAAAGAGAAAATTACTTAATGCTTCAAAAGTTTTGTGTTTTTTTTGTTGGCTATTAGCATGCATAAATGTGTATTTAATAAGGCAAGGCTGTAATTGAACTTTTCATTTCCAATAAGTCAGTTGTGTATCTTTCTCAGTGAATGGGGACTACATGTAGAAAATTTACCAACAGAGAAATTGAGTTGTCAGCTTTACAAAGGGTTGCGTAATCACTGATGGATTCTTAGAATAATGATTCACCATATATTTTGTGATGGTGAAATATAAACAAATTATTGGCAAGAGGAATAAAAAGCATTAGTCATGCTTTGGATGTGGCTCTAATGCTGTGATTTTTTTCCCACCCTCTCTCCCTATCTTATTTTTACCAGTAGGTTGTGACAGTTGGAAGTCTCATTGTACAACATGCTGCGATTAAGTCTCTCACCCACCTTTTCAATGGGATTTCATCTGTTAGCCATCGTGGCTCTCTTATTTTCCCATGTGGACCATGTAAGCACTGAGACAGAAATGGAAGGAGAAGGAAACGAAACTAGTGAATGTACTGGCTCATATTACTGTAAGAAAGGGGTGATTTTACCCATTTGGGAACCACAAGACCCTTCTTTTGGGGACAAAATTGCTAGAGCTACTGTGTATTTTGTGGCCATGGTCTACATGTTTCTTGGAGTCTCTATCATAGCTGACCGGTTCATGTCCTCTATAGAAGTCATCACATCTCAAGAAAAAGAAATAACCATAAAGAAACCCAATGGAGAGACCACCAAGACAACTGTGAGGATCTGGAATGAGACAGTTTCTAACTTGACCTTGATGGCCCTGGGGTCTTCTGCTCCTGAGATTCTCCTTTCAGTAATTGAAGTGTGTGGCCACAACTTCACTGCGGGAGACCTTGGTCCTAGCACCATTGTGGGAAGTGCTGCGTTCAATATGTTCATCATTATTGCACTTTGTGTTTACGTGGTCCCTGATGGAGAGACAAGGAAGATTAAGCATTTGCGTGTGTTCTTTGTGACGGCAGCCTGGAGCATCTTTGCCTATACCTGGCTTTACATTATATTGTCTGTCATCTCTCCTGGCGTTGTGGAGGTCTGGGAAGGTTTGCTTACTTTCTTCTTCTTTCCCATCTGTGTTGTGTTCGCTTGGGTAGCAGACAGGAGGCTTCTTTTTTACAAGTACGTCTACAAGAGGTATCGGGCTGGCAAGCAGAGGGGAATGATTATTGAACATGAAGGAGACAGGCCGTCTTCCAAGACTGAAATCGAAATGGATGGGAAAGTGGTCAATTCTCATGTTGACAATTTCTTAGATGGCGCTCTGGTTCTGGAGGTCGATGAGAGGGACCAAGATGATGAAGAGGCAAGGCGAGAAATGGCCAGGATCCTGAAGGAACTGAAGCAGAAGCACCCAGATAAAGAAATAGAGCAATTAATAGAATTAGCTAACTACCAAGTCTTAAGTCAGCAGCAAAAAAGTAGAGCATTTTACCGTATTCAAGCTACTCGTCTGATGACTGGAGCTGGTAACATTTTAAAGAGGCATGCAGCTGACCAAGCAAGGAAGGCAGTTAGTATGCACGAGGTCAACACAGAGGTGGCTGAAAATGACCCTGTTAGTAAGATCTTCTTTGAACAAGGGACATATCAGTGCCTGGAGAACTGTGGTACTGTGGCCCTGACCATTATTCGCAGAGGTGGTGATTTGACCAACACTGTGTTTGTTGACTTCAGAACAGAGGATGGCACAGCCAACGCTGGGTCTGATTATGAATTCACTGAAGGAACTGTGGTCTTTAAGCCTGGTGAGACCCAGAAAGAAATCAGAGTTGGCATTATCGATGATGATATCTTTGAGGAGGATGAAAATTTTCTCGTGCATCTCAGCAATGTCAAAGTATCTTCTGAAGCTTCAGAAGACGGCATACTGGAAGCCAATCATGTCTCTACACTTGCTTGCCTTGGCTCTCCCTCCACTGCCACTGTGACTATTTTTGATGATGACCACGCAGGCATCTTTACTTTTGAGGAAGCTGTGACTCATGTGAGTGAGAGCATTGGCATCATGGAGGTGAAAGTATTGAGAACATCTGGAGCTCGAGGAAATGTTATCGTTCCCTACAAAACCATTGAAGGGACTGCCAGAGGTGGAGGAGAGGACTTTGAGGACACTTGTGGAGAGCTCGAATTCCAGAATGATGAAATTGTGTAAGTTCTTTGTATATTTATGTGTCTGTGTGGTTGAATGTGTTTATGAATGTGAGAGTGTGTGCATCATTTCTTAAACTAAATGGCATACATGGAATGGAGTAGTTATTATACAAGACCACTTTCAAAACATCAGCCCTCACTTAGGTGTCACTTACCAATCAATGTGTTCTCTACACAGAAATCTTAATTTGACATCAAGAGTTTACTTTTGTACTTTTGTAGATATGTTTTAAGGACATTTTAGACTGTGATAAAATGAATCTTGTGACACAATTAATCAGATCACTTAAGATGGGTTGAAAAATTTGTACTCTGCTTCGAATCACATGGTATAAAATACAGAAAGGGAATATTTAAAACATGATAGTAAGTTCCTAACTTCATTGCTAAGTACAAATTGGGAAAGCCCAAAAAGGAAACACCTCTGAAAAGAATTTCCTGGCTAACAGAGCTGGATGAAAATATTTCTGTGGCTTTTATCTGACATTGTATTTTTGTGACAAAATAAGATAACATTTGTTTAAATGCCAATGCTTAATTATGACTTAATGACTTACTCTGCTTCTTCAGTTTTATGCCATTGTAGGAAAAGCCATACGGCTCTCATACAGTTTCGGTGTGGTTTTACTTTATGTGATTAAACAAGCCTTTTTATCCCACTGACATAGTGATGGAGAGAGAAATAAAGTTCTGACCAAGCAACCTAGTTGACAGGGAGTGGGTCACAGAAAAGAAGTGGGGAACAATTTACTCTTCCTATTGGTGCTTTACCGTGACACTGTGCCCATGTTTTAACACGGAGTCCCAGCTATGCAGTGATTCTGCCACTGAGAGCTGCTGTTTAGAGAGCTGTTCTTCCTTCTTTGCATAGGAGAGGGCTTTGCACTCCACTTACCAAAAGCAAATCAGAAAAGTTGACTCAGTGAGCAATGTCCAAACTGGAAGGAAGGAAGAAAGGGAGGCAGGAAACTATTTATAATATCTACAGTGCAACAAAGGACATTAAAATGAATGATTATGTTGGTGGGAGCACTGGCAACTTAGGGATTTCAGGAAAGGAAAATAAATAGATTACATACAGTTAGTGCCAAAAGTGATGAACTCTTTTGCTAATGGCATGTGCTATGTCAAATGGCAAGTACATGTTCTCTAAGAATGAAAGTGTAGGAAAAATAAACCAAAAAGGGGAGATGAGCAGAGGGAATATATTTTCCTGAAAGAGGCTTGCAGTGTTTTTACATCTCTTTGATGTTGTGTTATAGAGATGAGCATTTACTGAGTATGATACCACAATGAAAAAGTAAAGCAAGGATTATAATATCTATCTTCTGATGTATGTGTGTGTATATATTTTCCTGAAAGAGGCTTGCAGTGTTTTTACATCTCTTTGATGTTGTGTTATAGAGAAGAGCATTTACTGAGTATGATACCACAATGAAAAAGTAAAGCAAGGATTATAATATCTATCTTCTGATGTATGTGTGTGTGTAAGGGGGACAGTGTTTTGATTAATATCTATTTTATGTTGTTTCTTATGTTTCTAATGTTCCATTTATTGAGATGAGTTTTGTTGGGAGTTTTATTTTACTGAAAGGTAATTATATAGCAGCAAATTAATATACTGTATACCAGGACAGAATTTTTCCAGAGGTCTTGCATTGAATGTGATCTTGCTCAGGTTAGCATGCATGAACTTTATTCCTTTGCTAGGGATTCTTTCCCATTTTATTTTCTAATCATTTCAATGATTGAACCCTCATGTATTAGTTACCATATTGCATGTTATTAAAGGTGCATTTCATGTTATTAAATGAACTCACAAGGGTAGCCCTTAAATATAACTAAACTGGTCTTTTCTTTGTTTGATTTAGGATGTTTTTTCATGAAAATTTGGTCATGCTTTCTCTTAAAAATAATGGCTCTATACTTGTTTATTTGAGAGGCAGCCTTTTTCTACCTGCTGTCCAGGACTTTTACCATAAATAAATAAATAACATTTCTTTGGGTGGCACAGTGTAGAAGAAGAAGAAGGATTTTTTTAAAAGAGAGATTGACAGTGATTTGATGGAATAATTTATTCTGCCAAGCTCCATTTAAAACATTCACTCTATGCAATTAAATTGACTTTGCTCTTGCTAAGGAAGGAATATTGCCAAGCTCCATCTTTAGAAATTTAGATTTCTTATGAAAATTGGTAAGAATTAGAGGAATTGGTGAAAATTGCTAAGAATAAGTACCGTCTCTGTGTCAATATTCTTAGGGGTATTCTAGATCAATCACCAGTTCCCACTTCTATAAAGCTGTTACTGTATTTTATTCGCTAAGTTGAAATGTGAAATTTTAGAAATGGCAAAGCATTTTATTTATAAGAGGAATGAAGTTACATCCCTACATTTTTTCTTCCTTCTAGAATTTTAATTTTAAAGATCTTTCTTCTTGACTTTATAGAGTTTTATTCTTGACAAGCTTTGTAGATGCTTACTAGGTCTACTGTGTGCATAAATTTGTTGATGTGACTGGGATTTACCTTAAGCTAAGCACTAAGGATTCAAACACAATGTTTCTAGAAAAATGTATTATCAAATATGTGGAGTTGTGCTGGCCTCTTAGAAGTTTAGAAACTGTTACTCTTCTTTTTATGGATCATATTTTTCCTTTGGTGGTTGTCTCCAAAGCCAGGTTCGTATAGTAAGATCCAAATAAGAGAGTTTCTCATCATGCAATGAAGTTGGACTATGTAGACTTGATCCAACTTATCTTTAAGAATGAATTTATATCTCATCCAATTAAAAAGTTAATCTTGAGAGATGACTTCTTCAAAACCTACAATACATAGAGGAGGCTTGTCCCACTGAGCTTTATGAAATACTTTGAAAAAATTTTTTTTGTTTGTTTAACACTGTGTACAAAGCCAGAATTTATGGTTTTTTTCCAGAGCAACATAAAGATATTCCTCAAAAATCTTGGATTTAAAGGTTATCTAATTTTAAGGAGACATTAACCAAGGTAGAAACAAGGTCCGATCTGATCAGGGATGGAGGCTAAGAGTCAAGATAGCTTTATCAATTTTTTAATTTCAAGAACAAAATAGATTCCTAATCTTTGATCTTATTTTTAGTGTAGGAGTCATTTAAATTTATAATGTAAGAATGTCTGTACCTATTCATTCATATTCTTACATAAATGAGGTGAATTATTTCAACTTAACCTTTTCTAAGATCAAAATGTGTATTTGAGAAACAATTCTGGTAAGCGACAAGTGGTGCTTGGAATCACTAATAAAACCTATTATTTTCAGCAAAACATTTTAAAATTACAAAGTGAACGCCGATTGAGTATAGATATAATTAACATTTAGCATGTGTTTTTGCATAAACTCAACCAATAACAAATACTAAACCCATGCCAACTAATATTGACTTACAACAGGGAATTCTTTCTAACGTTAACATCTAATAAAAGATAAATGGAGAGATGCTAATTTGATTTGTGGTTTGGTAGGTGATATCCACAAATATGAAGTTCTCCTAATGATTGTTCTTTAATGATGGTAGTTCAATGGTAGTAATTATTACAAAATATTGTTTGTTCTTCCAAGGTCTAACATTAACTTAACTGTTCTGGAAAATGTTAGGGTTAATTAACTAATGCTGACACAAATAAAATGTAATTACTTAGTTATAGTGTAGTAATAGTATCATTTTTGGATGACAATTCAAAAGATCAAGAGCAATTAGTATTATATATTTAAAATGGACAGTTGAAAAAACAAAGTATGTAACTTGGAAAATTTACATAATTTATTGCTTAGCAAATCAGTTTACCGAGGGTTCCTAGTCACAGCATATACATTAAACAATGTGTCTGTCCAAAATTAATTTTGTTTTAACAACTATTATATTTTCAAGTATGCTTTGTAAATTTGTTAACTCTATGTGCTATGCAAACATCTCAACAAATATAGCTCTCCAACATTCAGTATTTATTTCATATTTTCTTCTTTTTGGAAAAGGGATTAGAAAAGAAATAAAATTTTAGTATTATATAGGTCCTATGGAATTATTGTATTCCAGAGAAAATACTTTGTTTTTGCTATTTATATTACCAGTGTTCTTCTCTTACGGTATAGAATTCCAAGAAATAAAGACCTAACTATATGAGAGCAGTTCAATTCTGAGAGCAGAACAAAATATGTTATACAAGAAGACAGCTGGATGTAAAAAAGATGAAACAAAGATATTAAGATAACTTGAAGTGATCAGAAAGAAGAATAATTGTGTGTGGAGAAATCAGAAATGGTGAAAAATACTAGAGAAAATGTCATTAAACTAGAAAGGCTATTAGCTCATACTACCTTCAATCCAGCCTATTCAAGATTTACTTTACAGCAGAAGAATTTTTATCTGCTACATTTTGAATATTAAAATAATGGACACATGATATTTTATATTGACATAAAATTTCCCTAGTAATTTGCTAATGTAAGAAATTTGGATGGAATAATTTTAGAATTTTAGAGGATTTCTGCTTTAGTGGATTACCTTTTAAGACAGGAATATTTATATCTTTTTAGAGCCAAACCACACGTAGAATCATCTGCAAATCTAAATTATGACTAGAAGATGTTTTTATAAACGCATAAGTTTTCTGAATGTATAACTATTATAAAAATAAAACAGAGTATGAGCCAAAAACATTTATGAACTCTAATTCAGTGCTGCTAGGAGCCTAAATTGATTATGTATGGAAAGGTTGTTTTCCATGTCAACCAGATTGCCAAATTTGCTGTTGTAATCCGATTTTCCCAGTGCTAATTAGAGATTTGGGTATAATATAGTTACATAAATAAATTTTCTCTTAGCAAATGAGGACATTTCATAGTTTAGACACACTGAAGTGTTTAAATTATGGCCTCTTTTCTGAGTCATCATTCAAGGTCATACATACATAGGAGGCTGATAGCTTCACTAGTTCAGAGCTAGAGGAGAATTTAGATATCAAT